CTCGTGTTTGCCACTCAAGTTCGTGTAAATTTCAATCATGAACACTTCTTAAGCGCAAAATTTTCAGTAAAATTTCATCAGATGATATTTGATGCCAAACAAGAGATTGTAAAGTTTTTATTCTCTTGTTGACGCCTATTCTTTGCTCTCTTGGGTTCAGTGTGTAGAAAATTCAATGGAGAGGATGTGCTGATAGGGAATTAGTTTCATTCTTCGGCAAATCTCCGGCTTTTATTTGGTGACTAATTACGTAATCAGCTGGTCGAGTGACATCACTTTCCCGCCAAAATCAGAGTTCCATGGCGAGAACGGGGAGGACTGTTCACAATAGTACTGGTAAAGGCAGATGCAGGGGAGACTGACGATTCAAACATATGATCAGTTTGTTTTCACGGATTTCCAGGATGAGTGCTTCCCCGTATTTCACCTAAAAAGGAAGACAAACACGCTCGGCGGCTAGAGAAGCAATCGCAGCTTTGTCAACGAACCAAAAGGAACCAAGAAGGCACAGCAAAATCGAATACGAGAAGCGACATGAAGAAGACTCGTCTAGGGACGACAAGAAAACTGAAGATGTTGCAGCCAAAAAGCGTAAAAAAGACACGTCCACGGCACAAACACAAGGTTTAACTTGGCAGCCTCTTAACTGGAGAGAGTAGCTTGCTAATATTCGTGAAATGAGAAAAACACGCGATGCCCCAGTTGATTCACAAGGATGCGAGAAGACAGCTGATGAGAGCCAGTCACCAGAGGTGAGAGGAGATGAAATTGGCAGACCAGTTGGGTGGGGTAAGGGAAGATCCGACACAGTGGTCTCCTCGGAGACAACTAAGCTGATTTATGAGAGGAAGAAACGTTTTGGGTAAAATTTCTGCACAGCCCCATACTGTTGTAAAACAAATCTGTTTTCCCAATGGCAATGTATTGTTTTTGTCATTGTTTTCTCTATCCAAGAACTGAATGCATGATGTAGAATGGGGCTGTGTAGAAATTTTACCACAATTGATTACATCCCACTTTTCATTTGAGTTATAAGATAAATTATGACAAATAGTTCAACAGC